AAGCCAATTCTTAGCTGCTAAAGAAAAATGGCACAAAGAGAAATAAGGGATCAAAAAAAATTTTTTTAAGTTATTTTCCATTGTTCCACAGCATACCTGAGAAACATGCTAAGTTTGTTGTAGGGCTTTAAATAATAATTAGGTGAGTTTTAAACACCTAACATCTCTAAAGATTTAATCAAATTTAACTTTCCTAAATAAATAATTTCTGAAATAAAATAATTTATACTAAATCCAATAAATTGCAAGAAAATTGAAAGCCCACTAAAGCCCATCTTCTTTTTCTAATGTATTAATTGACTTAAAGACCAGGAATTGCATAATCTAAATCTCAATATCAAAAGTTCCCTTCTTAATTCACTTAAAATTCACTTAAAAGTACTGGTCACTACATTCCAAGTCCTGTGGAACATACTTCACATCACTAAAAGTAATAAAAATGTACATAACCTTTAGAAATAATTGTTAGATAAAAATTATTTAGGATGCATGAGTTTGTTTTAATTAAAATAAGAAATTTGAAAGTTATAAAGTATTTTTTTAAATCTACAGTAGTTACACTGTTATACTTATTGCCTTTGTTAAAAGCAGTGCTTTGTTTAGAAGAGCCTCTCCCTTTCCCCGCTCCCCCAAAAAACTCCATCACTTATCTAATGATACCATTATCTCTTTGAAATATTTTTAGTTAGTAAAACAACTCATTGCACAGCAGATGAGGAATTAAATATCTGTGGAATAAAACAATCCATTTATTATGTAGCAGGTAAAATAACCTTACAATTTTAAAATTATTTTTACATATATAGACCTAATTAAAAAAAATATATCTATGTTTATTCCTGAGAGAAAGAGTTAAGATTATATCCTATAAAATAAATAAGTTGAGTCATCCTGATGTTTAGAGCCATCCTGATAAGAAACGTGGTCAGTCACCTTCTTAGCATCCTTGAAAGATTTCCAGAAAGGCTAGCTGAAAATACATTCCTTACCTCCAACAAATGACTGTGAGAGGTTACTTCTGATCCACCTAAGCAAATGTAACAACAGAAAATGGATAGTCTGTCTACATGGGGCTTCTAAACGTTGTTTAGCCCTGAGGAAGGTTGACTTTGGAAACTGGCTTGACCTCTTAATTACCGACCTTTTGCTGTATATGAAATATATAACTGTAACTGCAGTAACTATACCCTGTCACCATTATTTATTTATGTTTTCATCTTGAACTTGACCATGAGATCTTTGATGAAAAAAACACTGCCTTATATATCTTTGCTTCTCTATCACCAATGGAAATATTATAACCAATATCATCTTACCACAGATTCCTCTATCAAGGCTTCCTGAGAGTCGTTAAAGATCAAGGAGGACAAACTATGATGAATGAGGTTGGGGTCTAAATCCCACCCTCAGAATGTTGGGCACAGTCCATGAGCTAACACTGTGTCTACATTTATAAATAGTTGGAAAAAAGAAAGAATAATATCTTGTGATGTGCAAAAATTACATGAAATTCAAATTTCAGTGTCTATAAATACAGTGTTATTGGAATACAGCCATGCTCATTCATTTATGTATTATCTATGACTGCTTTTGTGCTACAACAGTAAAGTTATTGAGACCATACCATGTGCAAAACCTAAAATATTTACTATCTGGCACTTTACAAAAAAAGTTTGCCAACTCCTGTTATAGGTTTAAAAATGAAGAAGAGAGAAAGTGAGAAAAGTGGCATATTCACTTAACATTTACTGAAGGATTTACACATCCAACATTATGAGGCAAAAAAAGTTAGACACTAACACTAACTTTGCAGAGACATAAAATTTAATATAATGTGATATGGGGGAAAGAGCTTGGAAAGGAGTAGAACGGAATTTCCAGGCAGAAAGAAAAGAAAGCTAAACTCCCAAACAAAAGGGCCTGACTTTTGTAAAGAACAGGGAAACCTGCCATATGGCAGAGGCATAAGGCAAAGTGAACTGGAGCATGGGGTGCTGATGTATGTTCTAGATAACATGGTAAAGTCAGGCACTGGGAATGCATTATGAAGTTTCTGGCATGCAAAATTAGACACCCTAATTTGTGCACTCATATCTTTCCTCCATTTTACTTTTCACACCTACAAGTAATTGTTTAATTTCCTAGTAATCACATATTTCACTAGTCCATCACTCTCCCAATCCACAAATCTCCAAAGTTTTCATCTGTAGGATCACCCTCAGATTATGACCTTGAATCCTACTTTACTGAGAAAACTGAAGCAATTAAAAGAAATTTCCAAAAATCCACCATGAAGTAGTGTTATACATTTCAACAATGTGCCATTTCAGCCTAAACAAAAGACTGATTTCACTACAAAAACTTAAATACAATCTAGTATTAGCTATACTTTTTAACAAAGGTTTTTTTGGAATGAGAGACTAGGAACATCTCAGGCACATGAAATAAAGTCCTGCTTAGCTACATCATTTGCTTCTCAATCAATAAAATAAAAGCACTATAAAATATGCCTTTTATCTTAAAAGGAGATAAATTATAAATGATCTCATCTTCTCTATTGCTTTAAATTTTACTGAAAGTGATGCAATAATAAAAGAAAATGCAGTCAGGTGCAGTGGCTCACGTCTGCAATCCCAGCAGGAGGGTGGCTTGAGCCCAAGAGTTTGAGATCAATCTGGGCAACATAATGAGACACTGTCTCTACCAAAAACAACAACAACAACAACAGCAAATTAGCTAAGTGTAGGGGCATGCAACTACTGGTCCCAGCTACTTGGGAGGCTGAGGTGAGGGGATCACTTGAGCCTGGGAGGTCGAGGCTGCAGTGAGCCAAGATCCTGCTACTGTACATCAGCCTGGGTGACAGAATGAGACCCTGTCTCAAAAAATATATATAAAGAAAATAATATATATATATATAAAGAAAGAATGAATGAATGAATGAATGAAAAAGATAAAAATCCTCGTTGTCAATATAATTTAACCTAAATTTTATGACAGTGTTTCCTGCTGAAGGAGAAAATAACAATGCAATGGTACACAGATGACAAGTCATCCAATAAATTTTCTTATACATAATAGGTTCCTAAAGCTTGTCCTTAGAACTATTTTTAATCCAACTAATTCACATACTAGAAAAGACCGACTTAGTACAATATCATAAAATTCTTTTAAACAATCAGCTTCTCAACCAAACTCAAGAACAGACATTATAAATTGTATTCATATCGGTACTTTCGTCATACAGTATAGTATCTGGAATGTAAAACGCATGCAACAAACCAGCCTGGAAATATAGCAAGACCTCGTCTCTGAAAAACAAATAAAAACCTAGCTGGGCGCAGTGGCACATGCGTGCAGCCCCGGCTACTCAGGAGGATTCCTTGAGCCGAGACGTTAAAGGCTGCAGTGAGCTGTGATCGCACCACCACACTCCATCCCAAGACCCTGTCTTTTCAAAAATGAAAGACATGGGATAAACCTGTAATGTACTAATAAATTTGCTTATAGTGAATCTAAGATTTCCCTACACTAAATCTGGTTGAAAGGAAATACATTCAAACAGCATATGTCCAAAGATTAACACCTCTTTAGTTTGATTTTAACACAAATACACCCAAAGCCCTACCTACCCTAACAATGTTCCCTCCTATGGAGTCTTCCCTAAAGCACATACAATACTTCTCTTCGGACAAACACAAAATATAGTGGATAAAGCACCAGAATGAGCGTCTGGCATCACTGGGTTGGAATCCCAACTCTACCCTTTTACTAGGTGAGACCTTAATAAGTTACTTAACCTCTTTGAGGCCCATTCTCCACATCTGCCCCACTGGAATAGCCCCTCCAACCCTACAGGGTTGCTGTCAGAATTAAAAGAGCCACCACGGAGCCTGGCTCAAAGCTGTGGTCTAGCAAACACTTTTCCCCTCTTAAGATTCCTTCAGAAAGCCCTCGGAGAAAGTAAACGTGGTTATTATCTTCCTTATCTTTGGACATATTTCCAAAACGTAAATGGAAGCCTCAGGAGCCCAGGAGGAACCCTCCTTCCGCTATTACCGTCTCCAGCCTGCCAGCTTTCCGATCCACTTAAACCTTTCCGTGCCTGGAGCTCCCATTTGCCTTTTAGGATCAGGGAATTTCCCTCCCGAACTGTGTCGTGAGACCTGCACATTTTCTTTTTTCTTTTTCTTTTCTTTTCTTTTCTTTTTTTTTTTTTTTTCTTTTTTTTTTTTTTTTGAGACGGAGTTTCGCTCCTGTCACCCAGGCTGGAGTGCAATGGCGCGATCTCGGCTCACCGCAGCCTCCGCCTCCTGGGTTCAGGCAATTCTCCTGCCTCAGCCTCCTGAGTAGCTGGGATTACAGGCACGCACCACCATGCCCAGCTACTTTTTTGTATTTTTAGTAGAGACGGGGTTTCACCATGTTGACCAGGCTGGTCTCGATCTCTCGACCTCGTGATCCACCCGCCTCGGCCTCCCAAAGTGCTGGGATTACAGGCGGGAGGCACCTGCACATTTTCTTCTCAACCCGCTTTGAACACCCAAGGTCAAGACCCGCGCGTCACCCCTCGGGGAAGAGCCCGGGCTCGTTCTCCAGCTGCTCAGACGGAAGTGGACATCAATATTTTTCTTCCCCCCGTCACGCTGCTGAGGGTGGAACCACAGCGTCCAGCCGAAGGCGGTGCCGCGATGTCCCCCGGCCGGACCCGGCCCCAGCGGACCCGACCCCTCACGCCCGCATCCCGCGCGGCGCTCCCACCGCATCCCCGAGGCCGGCAACCCGCGCTTCCCGGGCGCGGAGGGCGATCTGGGTCCCTCGGCCCGCCGCCTCGGCCCGCCGCCGCGCCCGCTTCACCCCGCACCTCGGACGCCGGACTCCCCCACCTGCCCTCCCCGCCGCCCCTCGCTCGCCAGCCCCCTCCACGACCCCTCACTCCCTCAGGGACGGCTGCCCCAGGGCGCGGCCTCAAGCGCCGACGCCCGCGACGCCCTCCTCACCTCAGGGCCCGAACCGCAGCGCGGTCAGGCCCGGACGCGCTCAGTCTGCGGACGCTGCGCGGGTGACGGAGCTGGGATCCGTGTGAGGACGCGGCCGCGCGCCCGCCGCGCGCCCCCGGTGGAAGCAGCGCCGACGGCGCGCCGGCCGCCGAGGGAAGCTCGCGGCACCGAAGTCGCGCTCGCCTCCTGCCGAGCGCCCCTGGAGGGCCGGGCTCCTGAAAAACGCGGCTCCGCGCACGGGCGCGCTCCCGACGCACGCCGGCAAGCAGCGCGCGGGGAAGAGGAGCGCGCCGGAGGGCGGGGCGAGCGGTGGCGCGCGGCGGCCCGGGGTCTGTGAGCCGCTCGGGCCCGGCCTCGAGGCGCTTCCCCGGGGCCTTCCGCGCCGGGGATTTGCGGGGATCTCGCCACGCGCTTTCTTGAGGTACGGGCAAAATCCACGGGCGCGGGTCTCCGTGGTCAACCTGCCGCCGCCTAGCGGGTGACCCTGGCTGGCGGCCCCTCTCTGCACCTGCCTCGCCCAGTCGCGCCCCCCGTGAAGCACCCTCGCCACGTGTCTCCTGCGTTCGGATGGGCCGCTCTGAACGCGTTTGGAGTCCAGCCCCGCTCCCTCCCGCCGCAGCGGCTGCGGTGCGGTGGCCCCTTTTCCGTGGCTCCCGCCTCCCCTCCCCAGCCCTCTCCTCCGCCCTCACACCCCGACCCGGGACGTCCCCCCCACGGAGGGTCCTCATCCAAGCCCGGGAACGCGGCAGATCCCGAATTTTCCAAACGGCCTGAGACACGTGACGTCTCCTCTGCGAGAGGCTGGATACTGCACTTAGGTGCTAAAAATAGAATCGGGTGTTTCAAGTTTCATGATTCCAAGTGACCTACAAGGGGCCCAACGCCTTCACACGAACATTACGTAGTTGCCGCTTCGGATTTCGGTATGGTCACACTCCTTTGCACACAGACTTTTTTTTTTTTTTTTTTTTTTTTTAATTCTGTCAATCCTGTGTACATCACGTTTTGTTTTTTGTTTGTTTGTTTGTTTTTTTACTTGTCTTTGTTTTTTCTGCTTCTCGAATTGAAACCAGATCTCCCCGACATATACTCTGCTTTCTAAATGCTTAGGAGGAACAAAGAATCAAGGCATAATTAGGTGTCACTTATCTTTTGGAATATAAATTAAATAGAAAATTCAAAGAGGTTCGTCAGAATCCTTGATGATTAAAACAGTGGTCCCAACCTTTTTGTCACCAGGGAGCGACCAGTTTCATGGAAGACAGTTTTTCCAGGGGAGGGTGGATGGTTTTGCGATGATTCAAGCACGTTGTATTGACTGTGCACTTTATTTCTATTATTAGTACATTGTAATATGTAATGAAATAATTATACAACTCACCATAGTGTAGATTCAGTGGGAGCTCTGAGCTTGTTTTCTTACAACTAGACAGTCCCATTGGGGGGTGATGGGAGACAGTGACAGATCATCAGGCATTAGATTTTCATAAGGCATGCACAACCTAGATCCCTCACATGTGCGGTTCACAATAGGGTTCTTGCACCTATGACAATCTAATGCCATTGCTGATCTGACAGGAAATGGAGCTTAGGCCATAATACCAGCCATGTGGGGCAGTTGTAAATACAGATAAAGTTTCACTCACTTGCCCTCTGCTCACCTCCTGCTGTGTGGCCTGGTTCCTATCAGGCCATAGACCCCAGTAGCAGTCCATGGCCTGGGGATTGGGAACCCATGACTTAAAACATCTAGCAGTGAGGGTGGGAGAAAGGGAGGTAAACTAAAGAAAGCATGTAACGAAAACTGTTCATGATACATTCTTTTTTTGAAACATTTAGAACGTTTTAGTTATAAATTCTCAATGACCTAGGATTTGGGGCCAAGTAAAGAAATATAGGTCAGGCCGAGCATGGCAGCTCTCGCCTCTAATCCAAGCACTTTGGAGGCCAAGGCGGCCAGATCACCTGAGGTCGGGAGTTCAAGACCAGCCTGACCAACATGGTGAAACCCGTCTTTAAATTAAAGTCAAAGATGAACTTGATTAAAATGTTACTGAACCATACTTTTACCCCAACACTTCTCACTAGTAGCCTTAACCTGCCATAACTCCAGAAGCCTACTCATTTCTACTACTATTCCAGGCATTTGTTTCTTGCATTACTTATCCTTGTAATGTTCTCTGTCATTCATTCTGTCTGCTTATGCTTTTAAAACTCTTGCTTCAAAATGACATGACCAAAACCCAGTTCTCTAAAAATCTCATCACCCGAGACAAAATGATCTCACTCTCCTCCCAAATGCACACATACTACCATCTTGTTCACATCATTTTATTTATGTACCATCTCTTCAATTAAATTGTAAATAGTCTGAGGTTAAGAATTTTTTTCTTGTCTTGTCTTTTTCTTTCTTTCTTCCTTTGAGATAAAGTTTTGCTCTGTCACCCAGGTTGTTGTGATCACAGCTCACTGCAACCTCTACCTCCCAGGCCCAAGTGATCCTTCCACCTCAGCCTCCTAAGTAGCTGGGACTACGGGTGCATGCCATCACGCAGACTAGTTTTTGCATCTTCTTGTAGAGACAGGGTTTTGCCATGTTGCCCAGGCCAGTCTCAAGCTCCTAAGCTCAAGTGATTCTCCGTCCTTGGCCTCCAAAAGTACTGGGATTACAGGCATGAGCCACTTCACCCAGCCAAAAGCTTTTTCTTACACCAATTTAAATTTCCAAGTCCTATGCATCATAGTATACAGTAAATATTATTAACGCTACCAAAGAGAAAACATATGTAATAAGCAAGAATATGCAGATATTTTCATTTCCCCCCACTAAATGTGACCACTCACTCAACGAAATCTACCAACTTATGAAAAGGGAAGATATCAAATTCCTCTTATAGGATGAATGACAAAATTATAATGATGTTATTGTTTGACTCTGTGTCACCAGCCAAATCTCATCTTGAATTGTAATAATCCCCATATGTCAAAGGTGGGACCAGTTGGAGACAGTTGAATCCTGGGGACAGTTTTTCCCATGCTGTTCTCATGGTAGTGAGTTCTCACAAGGTAGAATGGTTTTATAAGGGCTCCTCTCTTCACTCGGCACTCATTCTCTCTTCTGCTGCTCTGTGAAGAGGTGCTTTCCACCATGATTATAAGTTTTCTGAGGCTTCCCTAGCCATGTGAAACTGTGAGTCAATTAAACTGTTTTCTTTATAAATCACCTAGTCATGGGTATGTCCTTATGGCTGTGTGAGAACAGACTAATGCAGATGGTAATGCAGTTGTGAGAATAATTTAGCAAAGGGAATACTAAATAAGACCTATTAATAAAAGGATTGCTACCGATTGATGTGTGGACCATGACATATTTTACTGTCTGTTTGAACAGGCTATTTATCAGACTATTGGTGCCTTGTAAACAATTTAGCCATATGATTTCAATCTAAATTTCCATAGTTACCAGGTCCCAGAACTAAGTAAGCAGTTCAGGGAAGGCGTTCCTTTCTGAGTTTCTGTATCTAGGAAGGAGAAACAAGCCATACTGATGGGTTGTCATGGTGGCAACCCCAAACCCCACATCTCATAAATAAATTTCTTAGACAAATAAATCAGATGGGAATACACAAATCATGGGAGTTGTAGATTGAGATTTAACAAGTTGCCTAGCTCTACAAAATTAACAATGAACCAGAATTTTGACAGTATTTAATGTAGAGTAAGAGAATAAGGCTTGCTACCCTAAATATGAACCTGCAACATACCCTTCTACTGCTGGTGAAAAGTGAATTCTGTTTGTGTTACTTTTTAATTTGCTAGACATCAAAGCTTTATTTAATGTATTCCCTATGCTATTTTTGCCAAAATTAAGAGCAAAATTGTTAAACTGTTGCAGCACCTTTTAAAATATCAAGTTAGTTCATTAATTTACATGATTATAATACATTGAAAATTACATGACTTTTTAAAAATCTATGATTATTAAACACTAGTATTTGTTTTTAAACATTTAACATTTCTGCAAGGCTAAAAAAAAGGTTTCAAGAGAAATGATGTGGTTTATCTATTTAGAGTTTAGATATGATTTCAAAGCGTTGCAAATTGGCACATTTGTCTAGAATGAGTTAAAACACATAAAGAAATGCAGCCGGGGGGCGGGGCTTAGGATAGTAAAATTAAAAAAAAAAAAAAAAAAAAAAGAAAAAGAAATGCCGCCTTGGCTGACAAAGTAGACAGGGAATCAAGCTGCTTTACCAATAAATAGAATTCCAAACTAGCATATCAAATGTGGCTGAAATAGTTATTAAATAGCTCAGTAAAATGATTAGTTGATAATCATTAGAGAGTTATGGGAAGGGGTTGGAGAAGAGAATGATCTCTAAAGGTAGTTTTAGTTTGTTTGATTTTTGTTATTACTACTATTATTACTATTACTGTCATTTTTATTACAACAAAAAGAATTTTAAGTATTTTACTCTGTTTCTCCAAACAGAAAAAGTAGTCAAAGAAGACTGTTATTTGAAGAATGTATAACCAAATTTGATATTTAAGATTTAGCCAGCCAAAAAGTATTTATTGTCTAGTATTCTTACTTGGTAAAAACTCTCAACTTTCTAGGTGAACCAAATGAAAAAAAAGGTAAAGAAATCAACAATTGTGCTGAGAGTTTAAAAAAAAAAATTTAAAGCATCAAACAAGGAAGATAATATTTCTTCCACTGTTAAAATCTGTGGTGCAAATTATAAAATGCTATAGAGAAATTGTTGAGAAATAGAGTTTTACCTGGTAACTTCAAGACAGAAAAGTGGGAAGATTGGTTTAATGAGAGTGAATAATTAAAACAGAAGACAGAGAGAAATAAACCTTCATAAATTTGTATAAACCTAAAGTTTGTAATTTACCTAAGAGAATAATATAAACATTAAAGAGAAACTTGACTCCATTTTTCTTTTCTTTCCCTCTTCAGTAAAGAAAATGGACTTTACGTAGGTAAAGGTGAAACACATAGAAAGTGAACTGAAACTTGAGATAGGTGAGGAGGCAGTAAGAAAACACCTATCTGTTTCAAAGAAGTTCATGTTTCCAGGCACAAATTACATCCCACAGCTGTTTACAAGTAACCTAAGACCTATTGCTTCTGAGTTCTGAGAAACTGTAAAAAATGAAAAAGGTGATAGATCACCTGCTTAAAAAATGGTAAAAGGGTATATATACATTGAAAACTGTA